TTCGTAACCTATTGTCGCAGTAATTAAGGAATAAAATGTTTATTTTTTCTTGAGAATTTTCTTTGAAAACTTCAAGGTCTTATTTTTATAAGACATCACAAAAAACTTACTTACTTACTTTAAATTCAAGACATTAATTGTAGTCATGTGGTTAGAAGGAGTCACTTTTAGTTACCTCAGTCTATGTTTTACGTGAAAAATAATTTGCTGAAGGATCAAATTAACAAAAAATATTATATAATACAGATTAATATATACTGCAGATATAACTGCCATAGTATTATTCTGTATTATTATATTTTGTTCTATACATTGTGCTTCTCTATAACTACTTGTCCCTAGTAAAATTATTGCAGAAACTATTATAATAATAATAATTATCATCTATTGAAATCAGGGCCTTCAGTACCGCCTCAACCACGTCCACCACCCATTGGAGTTATCATGATAGGAACAACACCACTACCAAGTAAGTATATTGCAAAGGATTACAAAATACATCGTGAATTATAGATGACCTCTGCTTCTTTCATTATGTACACGTCACTGTGCACTTTAAATAATCGATGGAACAATTCACATCGTCTGGCACTACTGATATAACAACACATTGTACATTTGAAATGTTGACAACCCAGTTAAAGTATGTTTTGTGAAATATTCTTCCAAAGCCGAAGAGGTTGATGGGGAATGGGGATCCTGGTCTCCATGGGGTGAATGTAGTATCACATGTGATGGCGAAGGCCAAATAACCAGAAGCCGTGAATGCGATGACCCACCGCCTTCAGAAGGTGGTAAAGATTGTGATGGGATCAGCATAGACACAAGTATTTGTATCACTCAAGAATGCCCAGGTAAGCCTATAACAATGAACCACGTTTTGAATCTGATAAGAATGGTTAGTATAAACGGATTTATATACATTAACATTAACAGAGACATATTAGATTTGGTTTAGTAATACATTATCATATTAAAGCAGGGGAGTCGTCACCTGCGCACACATCAGATGGTCATAGCGTGTCATTGTTTACAAACAAGTGTCTACCAATGAGCCTTTGCATTTTAGCGTGTGTTGTTATCGTCGTTTGATTCCTGGGCATGCGCAGGTGACAACCCTCTCGCATTAAGAATTTATATCCTTTATATAAAAAAAAAAAAAAATTGTTTTCTCAAATTTTTAGCAAATATAACTTGTCTTGTCATAGTTGTGGTAAGTTATATGTTGTGATGTACACACTAAATAATTTGATCGTTACAGTGAATGGGGAATGGTCACCATGGTCACCATGGGCAGATTGTTCCGCTACATGCAATGGTGGAATACAGACACGAGAACGTGGATGTGATGATCCAGAACCATCATCCAATGGTGATGATTGTCAAGGTGTTTCTATAGAAAGAAAGCAATGTAATTTACAGATATGTGAAGGTATGGTTGTAATTTAGATGGTGTTGGATTGTGTTTACCTAAAGGGTGATAGTTTAAAACCATGCATGTGCAAGCTGTTCGTTGTTAAACGGTGATTACCCGGTATTCTAAAACCCATTTTGCGCACTTCCAGTGGCAAGAATGAGGTTTTCATCCGGTCACAATATTCAATACAGTTTTTGACTTCTTAGAGTTCTTCAGTACATTCTAAGCACCCCAAAATTGCCTCTTTTTAAATGGGCCCCATGTACATCTTCTGCACTTGTGGCCAATGACCACATCCCTTCAAAACATACATTTGCAATCTCATTCTATTGCCTTCAATCTATTCACGTTTATAGTGAATCAACGATGAAATACAACCTCGCCTATTAATCTCACTCTCTAGCATTTTTGGTTTTGCAGTACAAAAGTAATATGTGTCATCAAAACTTCTTCCTTATACGCACTACACCACAGCAACACTTGGACACTAAAGATAGCAACTAATAGGGGATTTTCCGTACAATTGCGAGATCTCGAGAGATGTATGAAAAACGCGCGTCGAACGTCTGCCGCAAAAATCGAACGATTTGATTTTGAACTAGAATTTCTTTATTTCCTAACTCACATCGACCGGCCGATCTTCGACAGAGGAATATTGCTTCCGAATACCCTTACTTAATCGAAATTATCTATCATCAAATGTGGACAGCACATTATTAAACATGGAAATGTCCCCCAAAATACTTTGCGTTTGTCGAATCCCACGCGATGTTTGACGCCACTACGACGCTATGACCTTTGTTTGTCCTGTTTTTACGTTCGATTTCACGCATAACGTGTGATTCTCGCAGTGAACGAAAAATGGTCAATTAGAATGGTGTGTGGAGCAAAAAAGTCAACTTTTGTTACCATTCACAAAATTTAAACGTGTATAATTTATCAACAATTTGGGTCAAGACTTGCAACCAATAGGAAACCATGTTCATTTGGTCCAAAATTATGAAAAAAAATATATAAAATAAAGACATAAAAAACAGGCACCAACATTTTGCTGAGAAAAATTATGGCACTCAAAGAGTTGAAAAAATGTTTTTTATCTGTTGATTGTGTTACGTTAAAAAGTTAGATGTTTTTAGTCTCAATTACGTACAACTAATTATGTGTCACTTTTCTCAAAACATCAGAGGTCTGCACTGACGGAAAAGTGTATCTAGAAAACTGTGACGAGATTCCTATGTGTCCAATTACTTGTGAGGATGTCGGCAACCCATCAGAAT